GATCTTCCGAGGTCCCTTCCAGCCCTAATGTCTATAAAATCTATAAAATCTACCAGAGAGCCACCTGCATAGATGCACACCCATTCAGTAGGCGCTGGTCCTTCAGCCTTTCCTTACACAAATAAAAAAGGACTGTGGGAGTGAGCCCCTCACTGAGAAACAGCTGGCCTATGCTTAAGGTTGTAATAGTTTCATAGTTTCATAGATTTAGGGTCGGAAGGGACCTAGTAGATCTTCTAGCCCGACGCCCCGCCAGGGCGGGAGAACAACAAAACCCCAAAACAAGAAACGGGACTCAAATGAGTCCAGCCAGGTAGGCGTCCAGCCTCTTCTTAAAGACCCCCAGGGTAGGGGCCAGCACCACTTCCCTTGGAAGTTGGTTCCAGCTCCTAGCCGCCCTAACTGTGAAGTAGTTTTTGCGGATGTCCAATCTATACCTCCTCTCCATCAACTTGTGCCCATTACTCCTTGTTATGCCAGCGGGCGCTAGGGGAAACAGCGTCTCCCCCAAACCCTTCTGGTCCCCCCTAGTGAGTCTATAGACTGTCACCAGGTCCCCCCTCAGCCTTCTCTTGTGGAGGCTGAATAGGTTCAGGTCCCGCAGTCTCTCACTGTAGGGTCTGCCCTGTTGTCCCCGGATCATGCGGGTGGCCCTCCTCTGGACCCTCTCCATGTTGTCCACATCCCTCTTGAAATGGGGCGCACAGAACTGGACACAATACTCCAGCTGTGGCCTGACCAGCGTCGCGTAGAGGGGGAGGATCACCTCCTTGGCTCTACTCGAGATGCACCTGTGGATGCACGACAAGGTCCGGTTAGCCCTGCCAACCATGACCTCGCATTGTCGGCCCATGTTCATCTTGGAGTCAATAATGACTTCAAGATCTCTTTCTGCCTCCGTGCTCTCAAGTAGGGAGTTCCCCATTGTGTAAGTGTGCTGCTGGTTCCTACTGCCCAAGTGCAGCACCCTGCACTTGTCTGTATTGAAACGTAAGACAGCCCATTATAAAAATCTCTCACTGTATATCACATTCCAGCCTCTGGTAGACTTTTTTGGGTGAGTTTTGAAAAAACTTTAAGCTCTTGAGGGGGGAAGTTTCCTGGTGTTGAAACTGTCCATTTTTTCCCTGTTTTAGGATTGTAGGTTCATAAGAAAGTAGGGTTGTAAGGGACCTCACATCCTTGGGCATCTAGTCTAGTCCCCAGCTTAAGGCAGGATCATTCCTAACTAAACAATTTGAGCCATGAGTCCGTCCGACCTGCTCTCGAAAATTTCCAAGGATGGAGATTGCACAGCTTCTCTAGATCACCTGTTCCAATCCTTGACCACTCTATAATCAGAAAGTTCCTCCTAATCTCCCACCTAAATTTCCTCTGCTGCTGCTTGAGACCATTGTTCCTAGTCCTGTCCCCTGCGGCCACAGAGGAAAGCTCACCTCCATCCTTTTTGTGATCACCCTTCAGGTATTTGAAGACTGTTATCAAATCCCCCCACCTCCCTCCCTAATCTTCTCTTTTCCAGACTAAATAACCTTAGTTCTTTCAACCTTTCCTCCTAAGTCTTTCTTTTCAGGCCCCTAATCATTTATGAAACTCTGTGCTGGATTCTCACCCAAAATGACACAGTACTTCAGGTGAGGCCTCACCAGTGCCAAAGGAGAGGAGAAAGAAGCTCATGCCAGGGGCTGATTCAACTTCCATTGACATTAATAGAAGTCTTTCTTTTGACTTCACTGGGCACATCTACACGTTCATTAATGCACACTAGTTACTGCACATTTAATTTAGTACTTGCTTAATGAAGTACTAACTAAATGAGTAGTAACTAGAGTAACTGCACAGTAGCAGCAGCGAATGCCTTTTTAGTGACCCTATTGTGCAACAGCCTAATAATACTGTGCAGTAGCATATTAGCACTGTCTGTGCTGTGATGCGCTACTACTCAGTGTTATTAGGCTACTGCACATTAAGTATCTCATGTAGATATGCCCACTGGATACTAAATCGAGGGTGCCTATACATGTGCTTGGGTGTAGAGAGGGGCGGTTTTAATTAGAGCGGTTCCCTGACAGCTGCTCTCATTAAAATGGCTCACCGTCACGTGTATTAAGCCACCGCTCATTTTAAAATGTTCACAGGGTGCTTTAACTAAAACTCATTCACCATGAACTAGCATGTCTATAGGCAGCCATAGTGTCTGTGACTTATCCTGCTTATAGTAGGCAGCACCTCAGGAGATCCGAGCTAACTTGTTTAGCAAGTTGTCCCATTCACTGTCAGTAAAATTCATCATCCAGGAGGGTGGTCTCCTTTCATATAACAAATATTTTGTTCCTCTGATCTTCCTAGTAGCCTTTTTCTTGTACCTGTTCCCATTTGAATTCATCTTTCTTGAACATAGGTCACCATAATTGTACACAATATTCCAAATGAGGTCTCATCTCTGCCGTGTACAATGTCACTAACACAGTGTTCCCTATTGCTACTGGTCCTGCTTTGCCTGATAGACTGCATAATACATTTGCTCTTTCACAATTATATTGCTTACTCATCCAGGTCCTAGGTTCTTCTCCCTTCCCAGCATCCTTGTAGATAAAATCATGAGTCTTAAAAGTGTATAAAATGTTGAGTCATTTTTAACCCGTTTTTTGGAGGCAGTCCCTTCTACCTGGTTTTTGGATGCAGATCGGCCATGCCTTCAAGCTTTGCTCTTCAACTTTATAACCCTGCATTTTTAATGAAAGCGGAGATTCTTGTGAAATAACATGACTCTAGTAGCTGGAGATGTAACACCTATCCTGAGTATCACGAGACTCATAATAAAATTGTGAGAGTCGGCCGATCTGGATTTAATAAACCGTATATGAATTCTAACTATTATAGGACAGAACAAGCAGGGTCCAAGGTGTCAAAATGAATGCGTAGGTTCTGTCTGTCAGGCAGGGAAGCAGCAATTAATGACAACTTCTATGGGAGTAAGGAACTAGCTGGATCCTTTGCCGTAAACGTTCAAGCTTTTAATGTGTGGGCTCTTTAAAAGGGATATTAGAAAGGATCCATAAAACACTCAGTTAACTTTAAGTGAACATTAATTATGTTTGTGCTTGGGAATACCCTGTGTCTTATGGAAGCTTCAAATTCATAGGAAGGTTGAACCTCAGCTGAAATGGTCCAGGGGGGACAGCTGGGAGAGATTTAGTGGTGGAAAGACAAGATTTACTTTTGCCCCAGCTCATAACTGCCCTGCTTGCAGACTTTGCTCACTCCAGAAGCTGGGAGACATTCCTGAGGGTTTACAAAATAGCTCTCAGACTTCAAACCATGGCATATGGAAGAAGCATTTTGAGCTGTTGACAGGTACAATGATCACTGTTTAAAAAGTTAACATTTACCCATAGCAGCAGTTCTGTGTTACTGAAATTATTTTTAGCATCTTAGATATATAGGCACAGTAGTAATGGATTAATGATCTCCTTCCTTACTGTCAGCTCAGGATACTCATGGTGAAGGAGTGTTTTTGGGGAGTGGTAATAAGGTGGTCAGCAAAGCACAGTGACCATTACAGCATGATCTAAGCAGGAGCCCAAGGGGACATTGCTGCTGCCATTGGAGGTATGATTGCAGCGTGTGTAAGCAGAGCTGTGCTAGCCTTATCTTGGGTAGCAATAACAAGAAAGGTGTCCCTTATGTGTATAAGCACCTGTGCTACCACTTCTTCACTCCTATTGTTACCCAGACTAGCTGGATTAAACCTAGCTCAGCTATACCCAGCTTCTTCTAGACTCCTACCTTGTGACTGCTGTGTAGACATCATCTCTGAGGCAGAGTGGTCTGTTGGTGGCATGGAGGGAACAGAATTGAGAGCCAAATTCTCCAACTCCCCATGGAGAGAAATGAGGAACAAAGCATTTCTTTATTCTAACCGAGCATTTATTTCATATGTGCATCTTTGTCTGCAGACAAGCCAGATCCCCCAGCTGGAACGCCCTGCGCATCAGACATACGAAGTTCTTCTCTCACGCTCTCCTGGTATGGCTCCTCTTACGACGGCGGAAGTGCTGTGCAGTCCTACACAGTGGAAGTTTGGAACTCAGCGGACAACCAATGGACAGACCTCACTACTTGCCGTAGCACCTCGTACAATGTACAAGACCTGCTGGCTGATAGGGAATACAAATTCCGTGTGCGAGCCGCTAATGTGTACGGCATCAGTGAGCCCAGCCAAGAGTCGGAACTGGTAAAAGTAGGAGAGAAACCAGAAGGTTAGTCTTGATGAGAGAAACAATTAAATAATACTGAATGATGTTGTAGGAATCTCCAAATGAGGCACAGGCAATTACATACATGCCTTTGGATGCACTTATTTGTCATTTGTGCATGCTAGTGCCTTATATGAATATGCAAACACCCTGTTTCCATGTTTCCTTTGGGTATCTGGGTACAGCAAAAGCTGTGTTATCTGGCACTTCACCATCCAGAATGCTCCACTGACCAGCATCTGTCAATACAAATCTTCCTTCTGAGGGACGCGGCAAAAGTGAAACCGGAAGTCCTACTTCTGGTTTCACCGCCACAAGTCAAGTCCGACTTCCTACTTGTGGACCACAGCCCAGGGCGAAGCAGCCTCCGCAGAGCCCCCCTCCCTGTTGCCCCCGGCACACTAACAGCAGGAAGTGAAAGCCCTGGTGCGCTGGACGTGGCATATTTGATTAACTGGCATCCCCCATTCCCCATGGGTGCCAGATAACAGAGCTTTTACTGTACATATATTTTCAATGAGCTTGAAAACCCTATATCAATAATTCTCTGTCGTCTTTAGAATTGCAATGACTAGTTTGTCCTCTGCACTTGTACATATGCATGTGGTTATTAATATTTGTTGTCTATGGTACTAGTAATGAGAGATGCAACTTTTTGTCCAAGAAGAATGGGTTCAAATTTAATCCAGCTTGCCAGTGCTGTCCAGCAAGTTTTGTGAAATGCCCTGGGAGGCTCAATCTGCTTTACAGTGGACATAGCTCAAAAAAAACCCAGCACTAGCATTGCCACCAGTTGCCATACCTGTGGGCCATCTTTGAATAGGCTAGAGATGGCTTAACCTCTCGTTCCTATAGGTAGTTCTTGCATTTCAGATCTGTTTGGGGTCACTGGGGGAAAGCTTACCCCTCTGTTACCCATGAGGCGACTAGTCCATGGGTTAAATATTTTGCCACTGACACTGTGCTTTCAAATTGGCACCTTGTATGAATGTCAATTTGGTCGAAAGATTTTTTTGAACCAGTTAACATCCCAGAATATTTTTCTCCTGTGGAATATGCTCTTGGGGATATTTCAACTTTTTTTCCCCCTCCTGAGCCTTTAGCAATGGAGCAGTCTCAAAGGGAAAAGCTGAAGTATCCTGGGACTTTTCCTGAGCATGGAACATATATTCAAAAAACAAAAAGTGTTCATCACTCTGTAGTCCGGCAAATGATCCATCGCACACAGAGTACACATATAAGGAGAGGAGGAGAGGAGAACCTTGTAAACAATCTCATGCACCACAGCAAAGTCCAGATTTAGAAAATAAAGGAGAATAAGTCTTTTCTCATAATTCTAATTGCTAATCTTTGGGGAGTGGATCACCAGTTCCAGCTCACTCTCTCTCATTATATATTATATATGCATTGGTTTTAATTTACTGTTTGTTCGGATAAAGCCCTAGAAAGTTGGCAATACTGTTATTATGGACCTTCTGCAGTTTTGCCTCAAATATTTCCCCATGCAAGTAATTGGTTCTCTTGCTGGGGCTGCTAAATGGAAGCTAGTTCAATGGAAATATTCCTTTGACTATAAGATGCCTTTGAATTTAAGGCCTAGCCTTGTTTTCTGACTCTCATTTTAAGAAGAAAATAAACAGCAAATAAAACCACATGTACAGGGAAACGATCTCTGTGGTGCATATAATTATTTCTCTTTTTTTTAACTTCAACTTAAAACAAGCCATTTTTGGAAGACATATTCCATTTTCTCAAGTGTCTCTTATGTTCCAAGGTATATGATAATTGCTTTCTTTATTTAAAACACCTTAAAATAAATCAAGGGCCAAATTCTCTCCAAGGGAGAAGTAGAGTGGCACTAAGACTTCAAGAAAGCGGAACAGTCAACCTCTGAAAGCAAAAACTCCCGTTATTGCTCTCTCCTCTCTCTTTGGTTGTGGAAAGAACACATTTTAACTTTGAACACTCCAAGCGTTTGCACTTCCAAACATTATCACTAATTGCACTGGGTAGGAACCAGCAACATGCATTTTGAGATGAGGGGTTGTTTTTAGTGTCAAAGAGGTTTTAGAAGCCCCAGTGGAGCTGGGGTGTCTAGGAGATACTCAGAGACGAATAACCGGTAACAGCAACAAAAATATGTTGGGTAAAGAAACCCACTGTGGAAAAATAGCTCCTTGTATCTGGGTAAAAAGTTAGTCTAGTTCAGTGGTGCCCAACCTTTTTAGATTCAAGGTGCCCATCATTAGATTTGAGGCACCCCTCATTAGACTTAAGCAACCCCTTGAAAAATGCCAGCTGTTAGTTTTCACTTGTTTTTTGACTACCAAAAAATAAAGAGCAGTTTTTGTGTTGCAGTGAACTCCGAAAGACCACCCCAGGTCAGAAAGTTTTTTACAGTATGGATTCCTAATTGAAGTCTCTGGGTTTATCTTGTAAATCAAGTTTGCACACTTAACAGTGCTAACATTGTGTGACATTTTGTGGCACCCTTGAAAGGATCTCAAGGCCCTTTATGGCACACTGGTTGAGACTCACTGATCTAGTTGTTTCAACACCAGACTGGAAACCAAACCAGGGCTTTCTGTTAATGACACTGTGATTGACTTGCTGAGTGACCTGGGGTAAGTCGCGTCAGGATAGATTTTCAGTAGTTCAAAGCATATCTGCATTTCTAATCAAAGTCAGTAGAAACTGTGGGTTTTCAACATATTGGAAAATCAGGCTCCTTATTTTGCTCCACTGTAAACTCCTAGCCAAGTAGCTAAAGCCACGTCTCTCCCTGCCAAAAAAAAAAAGCAGTGCTTGATTTTTACATTGAGATCAAGATCAATAGCGCACAGCTGTCTCACTATAAAATCTTAGTGGAAAAAATGCTCAGGTTGTTTGAACCGTGATGTAGGTGAGGTCAGTACTGTCTGAGGTCAACACTGTATGCCCACCCATGTTGACCTTACCTTGCTACATCACAGTAAAACCTACCGAGCCTTTTCCAACAGGATTTGACAGCAAGATAGCTAACACACATTAGTTATCTCAGTGTAAGAAAATACAGTTTCTCTGGCTCTGAAGACAGTCTTAGATTCAGTTTACTCATCTCTACACTAAGGCATGCTGCCTGCCTCACACAAGTGTTGGTAGTCACCCTGAGATACTCCAGTGAAAGATGCTTCGGCAACGCAGAGTAGGATTATTACTGTGGAGGAAGACAGAGACATGCTGCCATATGTTCACCATTAATACAAATGGCAAGGGGATGTAATAAGTCATAAAGGAACCGAAGAGGTGATTCCAGCTTGGATGTACAGTGCCTTCCAATTGTGGAAGACTTGACCTCAGCTTCATGAGCTTAACCACAAAGGAAATGCATCTTTTCCCTAACTGAGAGCTTCCACCTGTGGACAGAAAGGTTTCCCAATTCAGGCCTGCGATGCAGTGCTGCACAGGTTGCACACACAGCTGAGGGATGGGGAACTGACTGCTTCGAGGCTCTGGCCACCATTTGGCAGACACCGCTATTGGCAGCCCGGCTGGAATCAGCTCCCTCATGCAGCCCTTAAAAGGGGAGGAAAATGTGATGTGCTTCATGCGAGTGTGATTTCCAGCTGCAAAAATCTGAGCAGTTTCTAGTGCAGGGGGGTGGGGAGAGCAAACTTCCCTTCTTGCTATTCTGGTAGATTGGCTGACAGCAGGCAGCGAGTCCCATGCGGGTCTAGAAAGGTCACAGATACAAAAAGGAGAAGGGGTGATGAGGGCTAGTTAATTGGGTCAGTCCACATGAGCTGTGTAACTGCCAGTTTACAGAGCACGTACCGGTTGTAACAGGAAGACCTTTTCTTTTGAATATGTTCCTACTAGATGGGCTCTGCTTTTTCGAGTCCATGTACTCCAGCAAGTTTTCATCCACTGCCATCTCCTCAGAAACACCTCATTCCCAGGTGTTGTTTGGGCAATCCCACCATGGCTCCCTCAAGCTGTCTTTGTTTTATGCTGTTAAAGTCCCTGGCGTTTGGCCTTGCAGTTAAACACACGAGTGGAATGAGGCACCATTAATAATTTGAGTCCACAAAATATGGAAGTGCTTTTCAGTCAAGCTTAGTAAAACATGGCTGCTTATCTGAGCTACCCGAAACCCTTGGGTCTGCAAAATTTGGTGGGACATTTGACAAAAACAAGCTCTCTCTAGGGGTTCTTTTGGGGCTTGGGTTTTTTTGCTTTTTAGCTTGAAAGGAAGAGTCAGAAGTACATTTGCCCCCATGTACAGACAATTAGGTATTTCATCTGGTCAATGACTGTTATTGTTCAAAATTCATTCCTTTTTTCTGAAGCACTCCCAAGTCAACATATTAATGACTCATTATGTTCCTAGAAGATATGTAAAACAGCTGTGCTATCTTCAAAAGATATTCCACATTGACAAGAGCAGCAAAGGTTACCCAGCTTCTACCACCTGATTTTGATTTAGTTAAAAATGGAGACTGAGTCAATGGATTCCCTTTATTGTATGCTAATTGTGCAAACTCTGTTTGTTTCTTATACCTAGCTGCTTCTTTTTATCTAACCACAAGATCAAATGTGAAAGTAATAAACCTACTTTATATAAGCATCAACATCCTGTGCAGTAAGGAGTTAGTCATCCATATTTTTTCTTCCCCCCCTTTTTTTAATAGAACCTAAAGATGAAGCCGAGCTGTCTGATGATGGTAAGAAGTCCATTACTTAATCAAAACAAATTCATTGTTACATCTTTCATTCATATTGTATGAGGAGTTTTTTTAATCACAGTTTTTTATCCTCATTTATAGAAGGGAAGGAAGTAGAGGTTGACTATCGGACTGTTAGCATCAATACAGAACAGAAAGTTTCAGAATTCTACAATATTGAAGAACGATTGGGATCGTAAGTAGTATACTGTCCTTTTTTGGACTAATGCATCTTATAGGCTTTCAGTCAAGTCAAAGCTAGAAAAGTGCATTCTTAAATGCCTATAATACAGTACTTGGACATTCTTAGCATTTGAACCAGACTTCTCATGTTCAATAAAAATAGATTCCAAAGTGGTCTGGTCTCCTCTTCATAAATGATGCATAGCTCTGTTAATTGATCATTTTATATAGGAATTGCATGTACTTGCAGTAAGGAAAATGGAGCCCATAAATGAATACAGCTAGATGATTTATTCTTTGTTCCCTGCTGTAAAAGCTCACTGAAAAGCAGCAACCCACTGTGCAGTTGCAGCTCCATTATATCCATTAGTGATAACAAGATTATCCTGCCTGTCGCCTGAAGTCTCTGGACAGTGGTTGTAATCCTAAAAGCAAAAGGATTAATGGTCTTGCTCAGTGAATGTCAATGATTAGGATGGCTGTGTCAGCAGTCAGGCCTGTGAATATGTGAACTGTCTGCCAGGACAGTCCTTGAGTGATTAGTCCTGCTAGTGATGACCAAAGCCATTAAGATCTTGCATCTGTATAGTCCTCTCTGTAACAACTCTCCCTTGGCAGATCTCCCTTTTTTTAATGCTTTCATTGTGAAAGGCACATGGTTAAAGTGAAATGGTATGCAAGCTCCCAGCTGCAACCATAGATTTAGATAAAGGGGGAGTCTTGAGGAGCAGGTTTGTCCTGTATCAGAGGGAAGCTCCCTTCCCCACACAGCACAAACTTACCCTGCCCTTTCCTGCCACTCAGTGTGGGCCACACACTGGAAAAATGTGCTGTAACAAGGTTTTGGGGCATGTCTGACTCTGTTCTAATGATAACTTCATTGTGTTACTTTTGGCATTTATTATATGCAGAGTGGGAGTGAGTAGGCAGGGTGCATTTTCACAGCAGCATTTGCGGGCACAGGCAGTGGCCCCCAGGGGTTTAGCAGTTAGACAGCCCTGCCCTGAGAGATTATTTTCTTACAACTCGCCTGTACAATGAGAAGAATAGATGGCTGGGGAGGAAGGGCAGCGTGATGATAAATTGATGAGTTCAGAAGTGTTTAACGTATAATAAAAATTCAAGCAACTCACATGCTTAATTTCTACTAAATGTCTCAGGCAGGTCCTCAGCTGATATACAGAAACACAGCTCCATTGACGTCAAAGAAACTACAGTAATCTGATCTCACCCTTTGAGTATAATGTTCAGAAAGATACTTTGGCAAGCAGCTCTGCCTGGTTTAGTACAGAACTGCACAAGTGCTTATGATCATGGGTTTGCAGTGCAGCCATTCCCAGTCTGAAAAGGGGTTTTCTAAAATTGTTTTTAATCCTAGAGAACTATGGCATATTAAAATCACGTCATATAAATATTTATATGTTTTCAGGGGAAAATTTGGACAAGTCTTCAAACTTGTTGAGAAGAAAACTGGAAAAGTTTGGGCCGGAAAGTTTTTTAAAGCATATTCAGCTAAAGATAAGGAAAATATAAGGCAAGAAATCAGCATCATGAACTGTCTACATCACCCAAAACTTGTCCAGTGTGTAGACGCCTTTGAAGAAAAAGCCAACATTGTCATGGTCCTGGAAATGTAAGTATACACCAGAGCACACTAGGGTAAACTAATAGCAGTGCATTTTGGTTGTTGGTGCTCAATATGTGAAGGTCTGCCAACACTTTGACAGAAAATTTAAAAGTATTTGTACAAAAAAAGGACAGTCATGCATGACTCTCTCAACAAATCCAGGTGTTCTTCTCTGTACACATATGACAAAGTTATTCTGTTTATTCATGGTATTTAAACATCTTTGGCCAATTCATCTCTCAACTCTCTCCCTGGAAATCAACATACATGCACCAAAGTCTGCACAGCCAGGCTAGAAATGTTATGAGACCAAGAAGTCATGAGTTTTGCAGCACATCCTGCTTCTGGTTCAGTTGCTATTACTGAAATAATGGCACTTTACAATGTTTCCTCTTCTCTAAACCCTCTGGAATGTGAGAATTAGAAATAACTGCCTACTGGACAGAAAAAGTTAGCTTTATATTTCACCACTGTCAATTTTATTTGGCTTTAGACGTGAGAAACATTTAGATTAAGGGACTGTTGTTGTTGATTTTGAGATCTGTCACGTGCACCAAATAAAGCACTGTATTTTCTTGCGGATGCAATGGCTGCTGAGATTGAATTACAGAAGACAAAGACGTGCTGCAGGGTACAAACCCAAAAGCTGAATTCTTAAGGGAAGAGTTGGAGTCTTACAAAAAATCTAACCACGCACATTTAGAGCTGGATCTGTTTGAGGTACAATACAGTTAAATGGTAGTTTAGATCAGGACTATCCAACGTCATGTGGCCCCTGAGCTGCAGACCACACAGATCATATGCTGTGGGGGCGAACCCCTGGAATTTGCCTCCCCCCACCATGTAGGCAGCATGTGGACCCTGTGAACCCCACCACGTGGACTGCACAAGCAGCATGCTTCGATCTCTGCTGCGCCTGCTGCACGGACAGTGCTCAGCCCCCTTCTAGCTCCTTCCCCACCATGCAGAAGTGGGAGATGTGACTCCGGGGCCTTCAGATCCCATCCTGGCTCCACACAGACCACATGCAGCCCTCAGGCCACCAGTTGGACAGCCCCAATTCGAAACAACATTTATTTTCCATCAAGGTCAAGGTTCCCCTTCTACATTGTGAAGAAAACTCAGAGTAACCAACCTAGAACCTTTTTCCTGGAAGAGGAACAAAAGGGTTTGGATACATAATGCGTAGGCAAAACAGTGGTGGGCCTATAGAAAACCTTGATATACAACAAACTTTCTAAATTGACGTAAATGGGCATAGACAAGATGTTGTGGTTCTTCCTGGCTAGCACCTAACTAACTAAGCACAACATAATGTAGCCATACTGGATCTCCCTAACTTACGTCCCAGTTGTAGCCATGGTAGAAGAGAAGGGTGATCCATTTTGTTTCTCTCCATTTAGTCCCACCACTTTCAAATCCCTCCTTCCTTCATGCAGAGAACAACTAGAAAAGGCAGCATTTAAATCCCATCTGTTGTTGGGATTCTTGCTGAACAGAGCAACCCCACCCAATCTTCCTACTCCTCTTGAGGCTACACATCCTGCTCACTTTGTGCTCCCGGCCTACAGCACTGTGGAAAGCAACACAAAAGCAACTTAAGAATTTCTGGGCAGAGCATCCCAGTATCATGCTCATGTGACTTGTAATGAAACAGTTAATGAATCTCACTGTAAATACACCATAACTATATGTAGGGCGCAGTATCTCTTTTATCCCGGGCTCAGAAGGTGCCGCTGTGCCAGAACTCTTTGCAGAAGAGAATCTGTTCAGCACAGCTTGGAAGGCAGCAGTCAGACTCTAGAAGCAGTGATGACCGAAGTGTCCATTGCATAACTCCTCGTGCACCGGTTTCATGGGAATACCATATTCATTGCAGCAGGAAAGAAAATCAAGTCTTGATCTCTGCGGGTGTCTTGTCCAAAAGGCTAGGTCAGTCACTATGGCTCCCGTGCAGCTGCTTCTCATTCTGATGCATAGAGAAGCAGAGAAGGGGTGGGTTTCTTTTTCTTCCCCAGCCTAATTCTCCAAACAAAATACAGATTGCTTTAAGCAAAGAGAATAGAATTCTACTTTGGTGAACTGGTGCATATTCGGACGGTGCAAAAAAGCTATTCTAACACAAGCACGTTTTAGAGAGTGAATCCTGTTTATGCAAATTTGGTGATAAAATATTAGAGGTGGATTTTTACTTATAGATTTAAAACTGGTGATTGAGAAGGGAAAGTTCATTCTACTTCACTTGGAACTGGGAGCTGGCAAATCTAGTGGAAAACAGAGAACTGCTTTTAAAAGGAGTTGGGGAACCTGTAGCTGCATGAACTGTTGATTTTTCGTACCACCAAAAGACCCCAGCTTTGCATAAACATTAAAATGCTTTCAAATACCAGGGAATTTCACGTACTTTAGTCTGTGTCGAGATGCAGTTTTAGGTATTAAACTAGGTTGTGGTTGCATGTCAAAGAGGGTAAGCCTGGATTTTCAGAAGAGCAGAAGTTCCCTGCATTCATATTGTTCTCCTTGTTCTCATCAAGGTTTAAGAATGTAGCCAGAAATTCAAAAGAATTCACCTGCTGCCAGCCTGTTTCTAGTGAAGTGACCAGATTTTCATGAGTGCTCGGTGACCACTTCATTGAGATGCTTCACTGGAGCAGAGGTCTTTTGAAACTGTGATCTTGTATATATGGCTGGAGCCAAAGGCTGCTTTCAATTTGCCTGGATCTGCTTCTGTGTAATTCCCATTAGTTTAGGTTTCCAGAAAGACAGATTATTTTTTTATGAATCAAAATGGGTTGAATGGAAAAAGAATAGTTTCACTGCCCATGTCCTGTGATGTGGGCTCTGCAATCAAAATTCATTCCAAATAAACCCACATTGCTTTAGAAAATCTGATCCTGACTAGGTGGGTGGACGGGCGTGCTTCTCATTCACGTGATTGTAAACCAGACGTATTATGTAGTAGGTCCGTCCTCCAGAATTCCAGCACAGGCCCGTTCCCTAAAGTATGCCTGGCCTATCATTTCTGCAGTATAACTTACATCCTCTCGTTTTAAATGTTTCCAAGGATTTCCACTGGAACGTTGTCGACTAAAGGCTCTTCCATTGTCTCATAGATCTCACCACCAAGAAGATCAATGTGTCCTAATATTCAGCCTAATATTTCCTCTCTCAGTTTCTCTATTCTCCTCTTCCTTGAATCCAGCTAAACAATTACTCGCCCTCTCAGGCGTTTAAACCATGCAAATATTTTAGGTCACTTAATCCCGCTGCTTAGCATAGGCTTAATTTAGGCAAGCTATTCCTATTTAGCTATTTTGGTCATGCCTCCTCTATTAATCCCTGGAGACCCTTAAATTATTTCAGTTGTCCTTTCCTCAAAACCCTCCAATTTGTTTGCACCTTATCACCTGGCTTTGCAATCCGGAGGCGACCCCAGACAGTTTGTTTCCCAAATGGCACTGTCCAGCAGTAGATACCCTGAAAATATTCTGGTGGGAAGACTTGTTTTATAAAGTAATGCAGTGTGAGTGGGTTTGAAAGTTTAGGCGTAACTGTCTTCAGATCCTTTCACTTCTCTCAGAAGGTCAGTTTTAATTAGTATATATCCTATTTTAAACATGAGATTATTAAATTGCAAACTAGAAGGTAGAAATTTGATGGGATTAAATTGCCACAAATCAGCATGGTTTCTTGTTTGATTTGCACCGGGGCATACATTTAAATGCGGTGAGATTTCTCACAAGGAAGAGCCACAGTAAGTCCTCTATATGATTACAGGCCCACTGCAATCCTAAAATAAGAAAGGGCTGTGTTTGCTGCAAGTGAATCTTTGAGGGTACCCTCACAGTGGAGAAGACTCCCCTGACTTGTGCATGCACGAAGAAAACACAATGCCCTTTGCTAATCCCTGCATTGATCCGGCATCTTAAAGTATCTTTAAAAGCATAGTCACAGAAAAATTGAGTCCATTTCTAAACAGCTTCACTACTCCGAGACAGTATGAGTTGCAGGAAATAAATGAGATGCTGAGCATCTAGGAAATGAGAATACAGTTTATCTTAAAGACATTACCAATAACCGGACAAAGCAGGGAAGAGACCAACAAGCAGATAAGTTGACTTTAATTCATCTTTGTGTAACAGGGCTGAAAGGCTGTACTGGACGCAATGCTGTACTCTCACAAAGGCTGCACATTCACAGAGATCATTTTGTAGAATTAAAAATTATTGCTGAAATCTAACGTTAGGTGTGTTTCAAGCAGCCAGCAAAATACATCTCACTTCAAGCTTTTTGTTCTTGCTTCTTTGTTTAAAAGCTCATTTGTTGGAAATTTGCTTTTAGCCACCCAAAAAAATATGGTTTTCTATGATAAGAAGCAATCCTCATTTTCTTCTGGATCTCTCATGGAAAATACAAGGATGACATTTAATTTGGAGTTGCCTAGTACTCCAAACAAATGTTTTCTGGGTGCCAATGCTTTCATAAAAATGTCAATACTGGTAACTAACTGGTTCAACTTCATGAAATATCAGAACCTGGGCACTTCGATTTTGGATGCATTGATCTGAGAAGTCGAGCAATTACATTGGTTTTACGTTCCAAAAACATAATAATCCAGTGTATTCTTCTGTGTTTGTCAAACATATGCTGCCATTATTGTTTCTATGTTTAGTTCTCCATAACATTTTAGTAGAAGGCTACAGTAGCTATTCTAATGAGATATTTTCTGAAACCTTATAAAGAAAGCAACAGAATGAGTCCAGAACTCCAGATGTTTCAGTTTCAGCTTAATACACTGGCTTTCTTACCCTACATCAGACAAGCTGTAAACACCAAAAGGCTGCATTTCAATTTTGCTTACCTTCCATAACTGAAATGTGCAATTACATTTGGCAGCAAGAGTAAATGTTGCCAAATCTTAAGCTGTATAAAGAGTATGTCGCATTTCATTTAGAACAGATTTATGAGGGCAAAGCTGTTTTTCACCATTTGCTCCCTTCTGTATGTCACCCCCCCACCACGTAATTAAAGTATTTCCCATCTTTGGACATTAGGAGAAGAACCAGATGAGTGATTACTAAGAATCAAAAATAACATTTTGCTTTATTTTGACCATATGAAGAATGTCCACCTTCAGCTCTAGGAACAGTTTGATACAACAGATTGTGCCCTGGAAAAAACAGTGATTTTGCTACTTCAATGGAGAAAAACAGAATCTGAATAGAGATGAGCAACTAAAAGGGCGATGCTTTGAGAAAGAAAGAAAGAAATCAATCTGAGAAAAACTTGGTCAAATCTTGGCCCCTTTAAAGCCAATGTCAAAAAGCATTATTATTTCACTTGGTCAGGATTTCATGCTTTTTGATAGGTCCTATTCCATCTATTAAGCATCCAAGTAGCCTTAGGCACCTAAGTGTAATCCTGCTCCCTGAAAAATAGTTAACATATAAGTGGGTGGACACTACTCAGGTTCTCTTTTTATGTTTCAGTTTCTTTTTCCACTCAGCATTTGCTTTTAATTTTTAATTGCTTTATATACATTTTTTTATATTGGAGGAGGAAAGTCACTCGCACTCCCAGTCTCTGACTGTTTAGGGGGCCAGTTGCAAACAGTTTACGAGGGATCGTGGCCATATTACCCATTTCTTGTTGCAAAACGTGAAAGTTTCCTGGTTAGTTCCCAGCTATCTAAGATGTCAGTACCCAAACATGGAAATTAGGAGCACAGTATGAAAAAGGATGAGATCTGCTGATTTATACCATGCACAATGAGGATTGTACAAGAGTGGTCATCTTCCTGGGGGCGAGAGAGGTCTTGGGTCTATGGAAATCTCTCCATTACAGCACATAGGCTGTAGCCTGAAAGACTTTTAGTAACTTCTGATATATTTGAACTATATCTGTTCAAAAAATGGAAGCATCTGCTTTACCAAAAACCCTGCAAAAACCTTTATTTCTGTCTTTTCTAGTGTTTCTGGGGGAGAACTCTTTGAACGAATCATTGATGAAGACTTTGAGCTGACAGAGAGAGAGTGCATTAAATACATGAAGCAGATTTCAGAAGGAGTTCAGTACATCCATAAACAGGGCATTGTCCACTTGGACTTGAAGCCAGAAAACATCATGTGTGTCAACAAGACTGGTACAAGTATCAAGCTCATTGACTTTGGACTTGCAAGACGATTAGGTAAGAAAGACATCTTTTGCTAATTTTGTTCCTGAAATGACAAGCTGTATGACAGGTAGAACAGCAGTGTATAACTAGTCTGTTCTTCAATAAGTACAAGCATATACTTTCAGTCCAATTATTCTTATTATATTTAGAAGTATAAAACAAGAATGTAGATGAGAAAGCAGAGAGTGTGTCTGTTCTCAATGAGTCTGCATAGAAGTTACTACAAAAATACTGTGGCTAGAGACAGAAATTACACATGAACCAGTATAAGTGATCGGAAACTGGTTCAGATCTGTAACACAACAGAAGTGCAGTCCACACAGACCACTTTTAAAATGGCTAAAACCAGTTTGAGATAAACCTGGATGGATGTAGTATCAGACCTCACTGATTTAGGTTAAACTGATTTATTGAACTTCTCTCCCAGATCCCCTCCAGATTCAAATCAACTCACAGTCCGCCAGCATCCCAGGATGCTTTGTACTTTCACCACAAACCCCACCGCTCACAGGGTGGGTGGGCCAGCCTTGGCCCAAGATGTCTGCTCCAGCCCAACAAGGAGGTGTGCTCTGGTGCCCCCCAGCTTCTAGTTGGGGTTACTGCAGGCATGTGGCCGCATTTCTGGAATCAAAAGTGAATGTCTGTTCACTTGCTTATTGGTTCAGTCTATGCAGCTTAGACTCGCCTGTAAAGACTGAATCTATTCAGCCTTGGGATTTTGACTGTCTGTGTTTGGCACATGTGTCTCTGGATAGTGTTCTCCCTGTTGATTGAAAGTAGGTATGTGCATAGATAAATACATCACATTTACTCCAAACAATCTTACAACCTTCAAAATCTTATGAAGATATTGAAATCCGTATCTTGATCACTTATGCTCATTAAAGACCTTTGACAGTTTTATAAAAGTATGAGTTATCTTGATATTCTAGGAAATTTCCAACTTGTCTGATTACATTCCACTTACATTTACCCTTTGTTTGATATGCTTTCTCTTCTGAATTGATGTGCATACCAGACCATTGCAAAATTTCATCCTAAAGGGATGTACTGCTGGTCAGAGGGGTTTATATTACAGCATTTACTAGTTGTAAATAATTAAAGTTAAAAAGCCCCTTTTACTTTAAACCACTTCTTGAATGATACGTAACTTCCCCCTGCACTGTCTTTTGAGCTGTAACTTTCCATTAAGTGTCACCCTAAAGCAGGGGTGGGCAAAATGTGGCCTGGGGGCTGGATGAGGCCCACCAGGCCATTCTATCTGGCCTGTGGGACCCCTAAAAAATTTAGAAAATTAATATTTATCTGCCCTGGGCTGCCTGTTATGTGGCCCTTGATGGCTTGCCAAGACTCAGTAAGCGGCCCTCTGCCCAAAAGTGCTCTAAAGTGAATTAATTGAGCTGGCAACTAGCCTTTGGTGGCTACACGGCTAGTTTGAGAAGGGAACATCACATGTGGCAAAGAATTACTGCAAATTGATTATCTAAGAGAAGAATATCAACCTCAGGGGCTCTGTTTCTTTTGCCATGAATTTCTGGTTTACCTTTTAATTAGCAGGAGAAGAAAAATCATTCCAAAACTTAAACTGCTTAAGGTCAGATTCCATGTCTCTTGCTCACACTGCTTTCTTACTAGGTCTGTAGACTTAGCCCAATAAAGTGGGCTAAGGACAATTTGTGTGAATTACTTTCTCCATTGTCGGTAAGGGGACTAATAAAAGGGCCTGTGGTTGTGATTTTTTTTCCTTCTTACATGAACTTATACCTGATCCCTTTACAGAAAGGGAAGAACAAATTACTAACATGAGTGAGAGTTGGAATTTTTATCTTCTTCTTAATGCTATACTCCTTTATCCTTCCCTTTCCTTTCAGTCCTAAAAGCCACCAACCAGTGCAAACAGAAGTCTTTACTAAAAGAATATGTTGATTTAATTGGAGCAGAACATCCTGCTTTCAAACTTTGTCAGATGTGGTTATGCACTGAAAAGGGTGTCTGTGAAAGTGGCATTCTTATTCAGGCAATCTGCTACCTGCTTCGATTCAGACTTAGGCCTGATTTTTGACTAACTGAAATAAGACTATGCTACCCTTGAGGCTTCCATTAGCTTCCATTACTCACTACGTGTGGGTAGCGAGCCTGATTTTGTTCTGATTCAGGGATCACCCGCAGAATTGTTCACTGGGTTTCAGTGGGGATGTGAAAGAACCCGGACTGGCCATCAAATTCCAGCTGTCACTTTGCAGAACCAGTATTTGCTCGTAAAGTGAGCAAATGTTATCATCGAGACACAACATGAAACTGCAGAATGATGTCCTCATGGTAACTTTTCTAAGCAGAGCCTTTAGATGACTTTAACCCAGGTACAGTAAAAGAAACACTGAACTCTTACCTTCTTAACCTGTGGTTTCATTTCTGTTGCTTTTTGCACTTGGGAAAGCAAGCTGGATTCACCCTGCATATTCATCTCATGTACAAAATCTACAATCAGTTTATGCTTTTCTCAGCAGTAGTAAATTGCTGGCTGTGGGCGCTAGATTGACCTTAATTTCCTACCAAGCATATTAATTTGGCCCTGTGTGTTGCTCCTGCTGCCATGGTGACATTACAGGCATTTGCACTGTTTTTTATCTATGAAGCAAATTAATTTCTGTTGTAAATCCAAAGTTCTCATTTTATGCCAGGGCTAAATTTGGCCAGCTGTATCAAAATGATCTGAATTCAAGATGTAGCAAGTGTAGCAGCCCTCAGAAACAGGCAGTATTGCACTGACTGGTCCAACAGAAAGAAAAAACCCCTGTGCTAGTCAATAAGCTATCCAACATTCAGCGTAAGCCTTTTCCAGGTATAAGAAAACAGTCTATATTAGCAATAGCTCTAAGCCATTCTGTATTGGCTTCTCTACTTGGTCCCTTCTTATTTCTAGCCATCTCATTTGACATATTCGAAGCATACTCCTACATCTGTTGGCTCTCACCGACTTCCATAGATTTGGGTTTAGGACCGCAATTTATGAGGCTAATTCAAAAATCTTACTTGGTCAGAAGTCCAATGGGAGTGGGAACCAAGGAAGGGCCGACTGATTTTTCTTTATAACATTAGAGGGGTTTTTAGTTTTGTTTTGTAACCAGTACCAATCTAGCGCATCTACATTTTCAGGACTTTGATCTACCTTGGGGTACTTAAGAGATCCTTCTGCAGACATTTTCTGCAGTTAATTAATTCTCTTATTTTGTCAGGAAATACCAAAGCTGTAGTGGTATATTTTCCTGACCTTTTTTGGTGTGCTTAGAAGCCCATGTAAAAAATTGTTTAAGATAAACTTCTTGGGGACACAGGAGGTTTCATCGTGTGCGCTGTTAAGACCTTCTTTTAAATCAATTTGTTACACCCAGTACAGAAAAAGGGCCAGTTTCCAACTAGCTCGTCCACAGTCCGTCTCACTTAATTGGTAACCAAATACAGGATCCTGCCTGTGTACCAAGCCTGTAAACAGCAGGGTAAAGTTTTGAGGTCTTTATTGAGTAGGAGATGCCTATTTTTGGGTATAGCCAGTGCAAGAGAGATACTGTCCCACAATATGTTTGTACTTTAAAGCTTGTCTTTTCAAAAGCTGCCTCTTAACCTGTGGACAGTATTATGCATGTTGGTTTTTGCATGTGCAGTATTTCACGAGAGTTACAAACATATATCAAAACACTTGGTGGTTAAAAAATTGTGCCCGAGGTTCTGGAGATTATGTTGAGGTTACTTTAAAAAAATTGGTCTTTTGTGATAAGTTTAAATAATTTTTCATGAGAGAAGCAAGGAAAAGTTGAAGGAACTGAGTTTATTTCATCTAAAAAATAAGAGTGAAGAGGGTCAGGACTCTTTCGATATGTAAAAGATGGTTATTGTGCTTCATGTATAGTAGAGGCAGAAGAATTCAATCTAATTGAGATTTTGGTTGAATATTAGCATTTTTTTCCAAATTATACAAATAAAGAAATACTAACATAGGCAACCTACAGAATTTCACTCTCTGGAGGTTATGATGAATTGTTTAGACAAGCATTTGTTGGGAGGGTTCTGGCTACACTTGATCCTACCTCCATGCAGTCGGATGAACTAGAAGACTTCTTTCTTGAGATACTTTTCAGCCTGACACTCCTATGATTCAGTCCCTAGAAAGTGAGTATTACACAGATCTATGAGACTGTGCTTAGATGGGCATTTGTGACACTACAAGTGCAGCAGCACTTTGAAGCACTACAAAAATACAGTACTGTGAGGCATAGACAAATACACAGAGACCTCTGGCTGGAGCATTACAGGGTCATCTCGAAGGCATCCAGGGGATGCAGCTCTTTTCTTATCACCCACATTTTCTCTCCCACCTCCCACCCCAGTCAGTGAACTGGGGAGGCTCATGGGGAGGCTCTCGGCAAACCCAAACACTGATAGCCTGCTGCCCCTCTGGGACATGGCAAGCAGCACTGTAGCCCCCTGGACCAGGCTGTTGATGACTGTAGGACTGAAACCAGGCTGGGTTGTTTGCCGTGGGTGGGCCCAGTCCCGCGCTCGCTGAGAGCCAGGACTCAGAGCAGCGGGGCTCTCGCTGAGACTGCTGTAGCCTCTCCTCGCCCAAGCCCTGATGGCATCTGAGCACTCGGGCAGCACTCATGAACTGTCCGCGCAGCAGACCCTGTCCCTCACCCTGGGAGGGGAGGGAGTACTTGCACCATTTCTGCAGTGCTACAGGTGGTGCACATGTCTGAACACATGATTTTTGTGGTGCTACAAAGGCATATGTAGCACTACTAATGTGTCATCTGAACATAGTCTGAATGAGCTCGTCAGCACAATTTACGGGGGGAAGAAGAAAAAAAGGGTTTTGCAGGGCTTAAAATGGGAAACTGAAGAGACAGAGGGAATACCCCATGGCAGTGTCCAGTGTATGCCCACGGGCAGAGAGGAGCGTCAGTGGGTGGCATGAAGCTGAGACTGCCACCAAATTACTGTGTGGTCTTTGGGCAAGTCACCTAACTAGCTGGGCCTTGGGTCCTTCGTCCATGGAGTAGGGATACTAATTCTTCAAAAGTTAAGATGTGGCGGATTGTACCTCCTGGAGGCTTGGGGAAATAAATGCGTACTATGGCAGTTTCTGTTCTGATTGCCACACGGGATCAGTTGTAGTCTAACATACTGATACAACTTTTACATTTTTATAATCATTAAAGAGGCAACACTTTCTGACCCTGATTGCTTTACCTTTAGGAGGACCAGAATCCCTTCCACAGGTTTTCCCTTCCATTCCTGGTCTGTCTTGCTTATTTTGACTATAATCTCACCAGGGCAGGGACTGTCCTTCACTACATACCTGTGGAGTGGCATTGATTTGCAGCTGTACTACAACGACTAACAGTGGTACAATGGGCCTCACTCAAGCTAAGCGCCGAGTGTCCAGGCAGTCACACCATCTGGACAGCAGTAGGCTTCCAAGACAAATCCATTTGCTTCCATGCAGCGTATATCATTTACTGAAATTTGCACTGGATCATTTCCCCTCTCCGGTTCCCAGACATTCCCATTCTCTGCCTTCTCCCATGCATTGCAGGCCCTCCCATCCTGCACTTGCTTCCATCCATATTTCCCCATATGCTTAAAATGCCTTCCAGATAACGTGAACATATCTCGATTTGTCTGATCGTTCTGTGCTAGTTCCAGGCATTGTCTAAAAACCTTATCTGAACCTGGATGCAGCACAGATAGTGCACAGACCTGGTTACTTTAGCTGATAATGTGGCACTGTTACAGTAATAGTGATTTAGTGTCTTATATGTTGTGATGTGTTTCTGTTCTGTATAAGGGTCTTATTCTGCCCGATTACTGGAGTATCTGGACTCTTTTCAGGAGGGCATCTACCATATGTAGTTCATTTCTTTCTCCTCCCCTCCGTGGGCACCTTCAAATATAGTTGAGTACCAGAGGTCCCTTGTTAATGTTCTTCATTGCTTTTATTCAGCAAAATGTTTTGTAAGCAGATCGGGATGGGGTAGAGAGAAGAGGAAGGCTTTGTTTCACCCTTCCCCCCCAGTTCCTTTCCCAGTTAATTTTTGCCATTCAACACAAGACGCCCAGGCTTTGATAATGGTGATGGTAATTCTTTCAGCTCTAGTCTAGCTCTTGTGCAGATTTCTGAGCTGAGACCTTCCACAAGCTTTGGGGTAGTTCAGATCTGAATCCAAACATTAAAAATGACCCATTTTCTTGGGTTCCCAGAGTGTCCAGGGCCTCTGTTTAGAAACAAAATTCTTCGGAGGAGTGAATCTTTCTTTATTATGTGTCTAGTATAGTACTGTGTGCATTTTTGATGCTTAACAAATAATAATTCTCCTGTGCTATTTGTGCATCAGCCAAAAAGTTGCTAAAGCTGGTAGCAGCTCAAGCAGGAATTTGCCTGAGGGAGTTAAAGAGCAGTCTGATAAATAAATGAGCGCAAAGATGTTTTACCTGTTGCTCAAAAAACTTTATTTTTCCCCTCCTTGGAAAAAGATGTTACAACCATGAAAGATTTTCTCTTTCTTTTTTTGCAGAAACTGCTGGTTCCCTCAAAGTTCTCTTTGGGACACCTGAATTTGTGGCTCCAGAAGTTATAAACTATGAACCTATTGGATATGCAACGGATATGTGGAGTATAGGAGTTATCTGCTATATCCTGTGAGTACTTGGCCACGTTCCAGGAACTTCTGTGCACAAAATTTTCCTGTTCGTGTCCATTCGCTTCAAAGCTGCTTTGTACCTGTCAGGATTTAGTCTTTTATATGTTGTAATAGTGAAGGAAAGATAGATCCATGTGTAATTAATCTAAGTGCAGATGCACTGGAGCACAGGTATTCTGCAGAGCCCCACTGATACATATGCAGGATTGGCACCAATGATTCATTGTTATCCTTTTATTGTATGGTGGTTTCAGAATATCATGGCTTTTTGGAAGCAGAATAAATTAATATAAACCAGTAATACTCCCTGCTGATTTAAAAAGACATATAATAATGCTATTACAGTATCTTGAAATGATTATTGCCTTCCCTGCTATTTAAAAGAAATACTTTGTCTTGAAATATGCTAAGGAAATATGACTATGAAGTTGTTTTCCCTTCTATCATCCATGCACATTGACTTGTTGTAGGGTTGCTTTTGAATCCTTAGTCTACTGCCATTGATATAATTTACCGGAAAATTAGAGCATTGAAATATTTGTTTTACAAGAAGAACATGGGCCGCATCAGGTCGATTTAACCAATTTATATCAATGAAAGGCCGGACTCAGTGATCTGTTGAGGTCCCTTCTGACCCTAGCATCTATGAATCATCAATCTATGAAAATGAAAAGTTAAATGTGGGGTCTGTCTAATCCCAGCTGTATCCTCTGAAAGCCCATAAGAAAGACTAACAAATCCCAGTGCTGCTGTATCTGTTATTAAGTGATTTTTAATGCAGTATTATAGACCTAACAATGGATAAACCAGGTTTTTATAAGTGGGCTATATCAACTTATTGCAAATGTTATAGAGCCCTGATGGAGTGCAGGCTCTGCTATGGGGTCTTTTTATAGAGGTGACTGATTATATACACTCATGATCTTCCAGGGGATCACTTGAGAGGAGGCTCCAGAGGAGCAGGGTTTCCTTTATTGCAAGTGTAGAACAACAAGGGATCTGATTCCAGCTGTGACATTTCCGTATTTGAGGTTATATATACAAGCTGAGAGAATAATTCTGTTGGAAACAGCACCTTTCCTGTCTCCTTCTGTCACCCCCAATATCAGTCATTTTAACACCCAACTTCCATTTACTTACGATTCTGAAACAGGACAGCAGTGTTTCTTTAAAACACCCTGAGGAAGGGAGTACGTGGGCTCCAACTACTCTGCGTACTTGCTAAGCCCGGTGACTCGTTCCATCTGCCTATAGGGAGATAAAAGTAGTGTTTTCTACAGGGACAGGACCTAGTGTGTTGGCTGAGCAGTCCCAGGGACCTAGTGTATTGGCTGTGCAGTAGCCATGCTTGGGGACGAAGGTTTGAGAGTAATCATTATCTTAGTATATTTGTTAATAGTGCTGAAGAAGGGAGGCACAGTGGGGGAACTTTGTTTCCAAGCATTTTGTGAAAGGCACATGCTCAGATTTCTTTCCTTTCTTTTCTCGAATCTAAGCGGTCTTTCTTTTTTTTTTTTTAAATCACATTAATAGAGTCCAGAAAGAATAAAAAAAATGAATATCTTAGCCAAATATGAAATACACTCCGTCATAAACGTTTGATAAATTTTCATTTTAGGGTTTTTGTTTCCTCCCTCTCCACTCATATCTTTCTGCATCCTGTTTCCAACACCATAGAGACGTTTTATAGCATGAAGATAATAAAAAATGAATGCAATAGCACCAGAGATTTCTTAATCAAGAACTATGAGATGCATCATCAAAGCTTTCTGAAGCTGCAAATCTGTACAGCTCTTTTGTCCTGACAGATCTGTTTTTTTCCTAGCTCTTTTGAAAGGCTCCCACAGAAGCCTGGCTTGGTTTATAATATAATCCACCTTCCTTCCAAGTTCTGCTGTTCTGTTTCACTTATGCTAGTTCTGTTATGCTGACTGGTTTTCTGCTGTGTAAAAATAAGACTTTATCCAAAAATGCCCTGACAGATGAGACAAAGATGTCTGATTGCTGTGTATCACTTTCTTGTATAGATATTATTACAATTTCTGATTTTGCACACAGATAGCTCAAGTTCAAAGAGATGGAGTATTTTGCACAAAGTCAAATACTTGACACAGTGAAAAAGTTGGGACTGGACCTTGTTACTTCCATCTTTCACTATATTGCAGGCTTTGCAGCCATGCTTTTCCTATTTAACAGTTTTTAACATTGTGAATTAATTAAAGTGATGATGTTAGAAACATGGGCACTGCCCTACTAGGATAGGCTAGTTGTCAAGTTCAGAAATGACTGGTACCATGTACTTTTAAAGCAGAGCAACTCCTATAGCTGTTATAACTTGCTATACTTGCTTCATGATATTCAGTTTTGTCATGAAACCTGAGGAATGGAAGTTCATGTCCTTTTTATCTAGGACCAGTGTAAGGGCAAGTCCAGTTGTTAATCGTACGAGGTGTGAGACAACTAAACAATCTCCTTTCTTAAGATGCAGCATCCAAATATCTTCACTTTAATGAAGTATAATACTGTTCTGTTTTTGTAAGCAGGCCATCGCCCTAAAATGACTGGTTTTTTGGAGGGGAGGCTCCTATAACTAGTCATTTATGACAAGTTCTATCTGAAGATATCTAACCCTATTTTAATCCTTCCTAGGCTACGTGCCTCAGTAATAACCTGTAGCAGAGAGCGTAGTATTGTGTGGAAGCATTTCTTTGGTTTTTAAATGTCATGGCCTTTCTGTTTCCAAGAGTGTAGTCTCCTGGAGATGGGAGGAGATGTAGAAGTTCTCAGTTGTTCTGCCCAGACTCTACCCCAGCTCTCCACACCACTCATTGTCCATGTGAAATCTCCTGGAGGTGTAGAAAGCTCATTCAGCGCCATGGAGAAGGGGGGATGCTGACCACTACAGACAGGGTGGGATCAGGGGAAAGGAAGTCTCACCTGCCTGGGCTGTCTGTGCACTGAAGGCAGGTGATCCACCTGCTGCTGCTGCTGCTAAGGAGGTAGCAGCATTGGCTCAGGCAGCAGGAGCCCTGCAGGCTCCTTGAGAGCCACACGTGATTTTGGACTTGGTCCCCTCCTCCCAATGTGTTATTGGGCTCAGAGATTCACCTGCTGCTGCAAATGCTCCCCAGGATGGCAGGAAGCACTGTTGCACCCACTTCCGGCCCCCCAGATACATTTCTGGGTGCGAGCCAGTGCCTGCCTGGTAAAGACTCCCGGGGGCGGATTTTGGTACCCCCTCATAGTCCGCACTGCTCCAGTGATACTACTGAAATCTCCTCTTACTCTTCATATCCAAATGTGATATGCCCCATGTCATGTCTCTCACTTCCTGTGGTATTTCAGCCACTCCCAGAGACGGCTCTGAACATTTCCATTATCCTGCTTTGGCCCGTCCTGTGTTAGATACAGAGAACTAAACTGAACTCAGCATTCAAGGTCAGACTTCACTGCTGGTTTGTATTTGGGCCTTATATTTCCTGGACTGTTCTCATTCAGTTCCAGCGTTTTTTTCTGGATCCTGAAGGCTCATTTGAATCATCCGTGGCTCAAGTAATTTGGGCCCCACAAGCAGTGTTCACAGTACATTTATTTTACGATGTCAGAGGCCTCTTGGGCAACAGGGCTGCTCATGTCTCCACCTTGGCCTGTTTGTTCATTGAATACAGTGCTTCTCAACCACGGTGCCACAGCACCCTAGGGTGCCTTGAGATCCTTTCAAGGGTGCTATAACAATGTTAGCACTGATGTGTACAACTCACATGATACATCCAGAGATTTCAAAGAGGAATTCATAGCGTTAAAAAAATTCTGCCCTATTGTGGACTTCCCGAGTCCTTTACAACAGAATCGTTCTGTTATTTTTTGGTAGTCAAAAAACAAGTTAAAACTAAGAGCTGGTATTTTTCAAAGGATTCCTACAGTCTCTCCAGGGATGCCTCTGCCTCAAGTCTGAAAACGTTGAGAGCCACTGCTCTACAGTCATGGTTCAGCCAATGCAGAGGTGCCCCCTACAGGCTATTTTCTAGATTGAATTAAAATATTCCACACCGCAGTAAATAATACCAGCAGTCTTAATACTTTCTAAAAGTGTTTTTCATCTATTTTGGTGCTTTGTTATATTTAGAGTAAAAACATCATGCCTTTTGTGTGACACGTTCAGAAAATTTCTTGAAGCTTGAGTGTCTGTGAACAGTCATTGCCCATGAAGAGTTTGGGGTATTTGACTGAAAAGGCAAAAATCAGTGCTGATAGTTGTAATGCGTAGTACAGTAGTTTCTCCAGGTCCCAGCCAGGAGCAAGGCCTAGTACAATAGGTACTAGACATGACACGGAAAACAGAAACCGGAAAGATGACAGGACTTCTTCGAGACCACATGGCAGGTCTGGGAGATCAGTCGGTGGTATGCAACCTTCACCTCCTCACTGCCCCTGATTTATATCTGATCTCAAGGATCGTTTTTGCCCAATTGTGCTTATTACGTGCATCGGCTCAGGAACCAGCGTTTGCTCTTCATATTGCAAGTCTGTTGGTTCTGTTTGTTTTTTATAGAAGACATGTTGAAGAGGTCAGAAAGAGGCTATGTCTACACGGGGTCCCTGGCATGTCTGTACAGGTCATTTCCAAGCAGAGCCCAGCCTCCTGCTCCCATTCACACTTGCCACGGAAAGGTGGCAGTAAATCCACTCCAGAGCAGCTCCAGCAGCTGCTCTCAAGCGCACGGGAGCACATCAGGTCACAAGGGCAGATATACGGGGGATGCCTCCAGAGCACCTTCACGGCTGTGTTTCGGGTTTGGCGTGCCCAAGCAGGAGGTGGTCGGACTTGCTGAGGGGGTTCTTGCTGGAACATGCTGGGAACGGTGTATTCTCCCTAAGCCCAGTCGTGGGCGGTGTTGGGCAAGTCTCTGTCAACAGAGTAAGAAGTCAGAGTGCAGTTCTGTAAGGGGATGAGCATGCTCCTTCCTACTCCTTGGGTAAATTATGGACTTAGCCCAT